GGCTGTACCCATGTGGGAGGCGTTACAAAGGTGGAGGCCATAGTCTGTTCTGGTCTTGGTGGGTCTAGGAGATAGCACACAGTACCCAGGGGACAACTTGGCTCTCCCACCAGGCCTGCCGCTTTGCCTATCTCCTGGCCTCTTCGCTCACAGTGGCTTCTATTTACTGGCTACCTTGGTAGCTCCTGCTCCTTGCTCCCCCTTCAGGCACTTCTCTTAGCTTTGGACCAGACCTCCCAGCTTAACAGAAAAATCACTACGCAACTGCCATGTTCCAGTCATAGAATGGAGGGGTGAGAGGGGAGCAAAGGAACTGAGAACAAATACATATGCAGATATGTATTCAAAAATATGCAAACACACACCCACACACCAATTACATGTCCACACACAACTACATGTAAGTATAAAATACTTACACATATACATACAAATACTCACATACACAAACTACATACAAGTAACACATGCACACAAAATATACACAAGACATACAAAATTTGAGCATATACAAATATGCAAAATTTACACACATACACACAAGTACATATAAACCAAGTGCAATACAAATATAGACCCAGGCACCCAAACATAAGTGTGCTATAGCAATTAAACTATCTTTTTCATCCTAGCTGGTTTGGCTCAGTGGAGAGTGTCGGCCCAAGGACTGAAGGGTCTCGTGTTCGATTCAGGTCAAGGGCACGTACCTCGGTTGCAGGCTCGATCCCAGGCCCCAGATCCCTGGGAGACAACCAATCAATATGTCTCTCTCATATCGATGTTTCTCTCTCTGTCTCTCCCCCTTCCTCCCACTCTCAAAAATCAATGGAAAAAATGTCCTCAGATGAGGATTAACAACAACAACAAAACAACAAAAAACTACCTTTTGCCATGTTTCCTTATCTCAATCAAGGCCATTTCTCACTCTTTGGGCGATCTGTGCATGTAAGGATTTATAAGGGGGTTTATGAAACATTGCAAAGAGTTGTAATAAGAAAAGGTCTGACATCTCCAGGTTGGGAATTTCTAGTTTATTGCAATGATAACATTACAGTCACTCAGTGTCAGGTGTCATTCTTAGTGCTTTATGTGTAATTCACTCATTGGATCCTCATTAACAACCCTATGAAGTAAGCACTATTATTACCTCCATAATATAGCTGAGGAAATAGGTTCAGAGTTAAATTTTCAAAACAAAGTAACACTGGCAGGAGACTAACTTCAGAATACAGATTTACCAACATTGTGCTATGTTGTCTCATTCGATGCTGAGTCCGCAGACACTGAATGACATAGTCAAGGGCATGTGGCTCCCCCAACCCTGGATCAAACCAAACACCTGGCACCTCCATGGCACTGCTGGGTGGTGACCCCAAACTCCCTCATCCTGAGCAGCAACACTGCACACAGATCAAATCCTCACAAACACTTTGAATGAATGACCTTAAACACAGAGAGGTTTACAGTGCTGCCCAAGTAGAATTCTAAATAAAACAACATTCAACTCTGAAATAAAATTTTACTTATGTGAAACTAGAGGACCGGTGCATGGATTCGTGTAGCGGTGGGGTCCCTCGGCGTGGCCTGCGGGGATTGGGCTGAAACCAGCAGTCCAATGCCACCTGCCACTCCTGCCTGCCACTCCCGCTCATCCCGGCCTGCTGTGCCTGCTGTGCCTGCCATGCCTGCCGCGGGCTTGTGCCCAGTCAGTCCTGATCGGGAGAGGATCGGGCCGCTGCTGCGGTGCTTGCCAGCCATCCCTGCATCTGGAGCCTTTCCGTCAGCTGAGTGGCACTCCCGCTATGGGAGTGCAATGACCACCAGGGGCAGCTCCTGTGTTGAGTGTCTTCCCCCTGGTGGTCAGTGCGCATCATAGCAACCGGTCGACTGGTCTTTCAGTTGTTCAGTTGTTCGGTTGCTTAGACTTTTATATATAAAGATGATACAAAGCATTCTTGTACACTGAAATTAAAATGGGTTCTTGAGATTTCCTGACTTTATTTTTGACCCATTGCCCTGCTGGGGTCCTGAGCACACATTCAGTTTTCTCATTGGGCCCTCCAGCCCTGATCAGAGGTTTCAACCTCTCAGCTCTGAGTTTATGGGTGATTCTCTTGTGTCTCCCAGAATGGCTTTTCTAGACTGTCCATTTTCTCCAAGCCCCATCCCTCCACCCAACAGAGGAACTTAGCTCTACTTTCAATGAGACAATGGAGGTCCAACCCACTCAAGGTTCCCATTGCCTTCTCTCACCCTTCAAAACAAAGAAATTGTTAACTAAAGTGAATTGAGCACTATCTGCCCAGAACTGTGCTAAACACAGGATAGACATTTATTATCAATTAATGTCATATGAAATCATGAGCCCTGGCTGGTATAGCTCAGTTGGTTGAGCACCGTCCCATGCATCAAAAGGTCACTGGTCTGGTCAGGGCACATTCCTGGATTGCAGGCTTGATCCCCAGTAGGCTTCTTTCTTACATCGGTGTTTCTCTCCCTCTCCCTTCCTCTCTCTCCAAAACAAAACAAAAAATCAATAAAAAACATATTTTAAAAAAAGGAAGCATGAGGCAGACATATTATTATCCCCCAAATTAAACAATTTGCCTATGGTCACTGTACCAATTAGAATTTTTAGCAAGGAAACCCTTTGGCTATTTGCCAGCTCAGGGGCTGCATAATCAGGCTTAAAGAATAGGTTGGGAGGTGGGTAGGTAGAACCAGAATGAAAAATCACTCTAAGACCCAGTTCAGGGAAGATTCAGTTGCCACCAAACCCCACTGCTTGGGACCCTGAGCTCCACTTCTGCTTGCTCTGCTTCCCTGCTGCCTCTGGACACTGGATATCACGGCGGGCTCTTTTGCTGAAATAAATCCTCCACTGTCCCTGTTTCCTGGAATTATGAGCATCTGATTTAAAACAAACAAACAAACAAACAGAATGGGGGCATCTGATTGGCTGAGCCTCTGCCATGTGCTCACATCCTAGCTGCAAGAGAGGCAGGAAAACAAGTACTTGAACTTTAAGAGTTGGCACTGTCCCTCCCCAAGACTGCGATGGTGAAGCGATTTCTCCAAAATGGGAAGGTGGATACAGATGGTAGGCAGACAACAAAACAAAACAAATAAATATTTATAGCAGCCACACAGGTAGCAGAGGCAGGATTTGAATTCAGATCTGTTTGACATAAAAGTTTGAGGTTTTAAGGACAGTGCGATGCAGTCATTCTATAAAACCCCCATCCTTTTACAAGAGAGCTCTCTCTATTGAAGTCCAGTGTTTCCATTTAATTCTTTTACTCCACTCCCTTCTGCTTCCATTGAATTTTCTCTATCAACAAACCCCTCTCTCTTCTATATTTTCAATATCTGTTTATACGGTGCATTTCTCCTCAGCTTAAACAATGTTACATCTCCCCACATCTTTACAAACACATTTCCTCAGAACCTTCTCCTTGGTCTGGGCCCAGAGAGTCCGAGGTTTGAATCTTGACCCTCTCAGGGACCCTGGTTCAGTCATTTCACCTCTCTGAGCCACAGTTTCCTCCTTAGTCAGACATATTTTCTTGTGAGAATTAACCCCAGACAATGCTCAATATAGTTGATGGTATTATCATGCACATTAGTTCCATCACGGCTGGGGGTGGGATGAGTAGTGACTACAGATTGGTATGGGAAGACATTTTTTGGGTGATGGAAATATTCTAAGATTGGACTGTAGTGATGCTAATAAAACTCTACAAATTTACAAAAAGTCATTGCTTTGTACGCTTAAGGAGTGGATTTTATAGCATGCAACTTCAATAAAGCTGTTATAAAATAACGAAGGTCCAAACCAGCGTTACTCTTACCTTACCCTGACCTTCTCTCTGTAGAGACTCCTCAAGTTTTTCTAGGCAAGAATCCCTAGATGCTGGAGGCTGATTCCAGCAGGGTCATAATAAATGCCAGAGTCCTCAAAAGGTTGGACTCTTTCAGCAGGGCTGAAAGTCTGCATATATTATTGCCTGCTGCCAGACAGCTGAGGGCAGTTCCCTCAACCTGATACTTCACTTCTTACCAAACTTCACCTTTGATATGTGTGTTTGCTTTGCTAAAGGGCAAAATGTGGGAATAAAAAGCCTTGGGCCCGGAGATTCGGAGAACTCAGCTACTAAAGCTAAGCCTCCCTGGCTCCCCCATGTATTCCAAATTTATATTTCATGTCTAGTCTCTTTATTAATTTACTCACAGCCCCTTCTTCAGATTCCTGAACCCTTCTAGATGCGGATAGCACCCTGGCACCTAGAGTCTTCTTTCAGACTGGCTTCCTCACGGATCTGGGACCCCTGCTATCCCAAGTCTGAAGAAACAACAGGAGACAGGGTGTGAGGAGAAGCACCGTAACTGGGAGGCAGTCAACCTGGGTTCAAATCTTGGATCCCTCAAATGGTTACCTGGGCAAAATGTTAACTCTTCTGAACTTTAGTTTTCAAATCAGCACAACGGGGACAACTCTTTCTGGTGGTTGTGAGACTGAGAGGAGACTATACCTGTGAAATACTTCTCACCAAACCTAGCAGGGAGTCAGATCTCCTTAGCTGGTTACTGTGGTCAGGGAGGGATCACCTCTGAGGGTTCCAGCTTTTAGTGATGTTTTTCTTCCCACACCCTTTATGTGTGTCCTCTGTCAGCTACAGTCCAGGCCTTGTCATTTCTCCCGAAAGAGAAGCAACTTCCGTACCAATCTCCCCTCACCCTGGTAATTATCTTCAGTACCAGCTGTCCGAGTGATTTTTCTGGGTAAAAAAACAACATCTACCCTGGCTGGTGTGGCTCAGTTGGTTGAGTGTCGTCCGAAAGGTCACCGGTTAGATTCCTGGTCAGGGCACATACCCAGGTTGCAGGTTCAATTTGCTCCCATGATGATTTGGTGTCTGCCTCACCTGCCTCAATGTTTCCCCTTCTGTCACCAATATTCACAGCTACAGCTGTTTACTGACCAGTCCTGACCTTCCGCTATGGAAATCTGCTTTCTATTCTCCATTCTTCTCCCTGCCAGGAGGCCCTTGAGCAGCTCACTTCCCCTAAGTCTCAGTTTTTTCATGTGTGAGTTGAAGGTTTATGATTTCTGCTTCTGAGGATTGTTCTGAAGATCATAATGATAAATATGAGGATGACAATAATAAAAATAAAGAAAAACAACAATAATAACAGTTGATAATGATTCACCATCAACTATGTGTCAGGGACTAGGCAGTTTACATAAGTTACCCCATCAGGTACAGTTATACAGTGGGGCCTTGACTTACGAGTTTAATTCGTTTTGTGACGGAGCTCGTAACTCAAAGTACTCATATGTCAAATCAAAAAGTGAACGAGTGAGACACGTGATGCTGGGCTGATGTTGTGGCGTTCACTGTGACGTTCGCTGCGCCAACTAGCGGTGGGGTATCTGAAGCTGGCTCGTAACCTGAATTTTAGCTCGCAACTCAAAGCAAAAAATCGGCCGAGAGATGGCTCGTATCTCGAAAAACTCGTTAGTCAGGACACTCGTAAGTCAAGGCCCCACTGTAATTTGTATTTCCTCAGAGGAGGCTCAGACAATTTACCTCACTCATGGTCAACAACTACCAAGTGTCAGGGCCAACACTCAAATCCAATCTGTCTGACACCAAAACCTATTCTCCAATTCTAGTATTTCAGGGTTCTAGAATTCTTTGTCTCCTCTCAAAGTATCTTAGTTCACTGGGCCCAGCCCTTTATATATATATATTCGTCATCACTATACTACGGTATTCTCTATTTTTTACCCAAGGAGGACCCACCATAG